TATATATATATATTACAGGCTGTAATACCGATGCGACAAACGTAAAGCTCCCGTTATGAAGCAGCATTACGAGTTTGAAAACACGCTGAGGTAAAAGCTGACGCGAGAAAACTGGTCACTTTGCAAGGTCAGAGACAGCAGCATCTGTACATGTGCTTCTGGTTGGAGGTCTGGACGCTTTCGGGGAACAGGTTCGCCTGATTGCCCCTTCAAATGCTACACTTTTCTAAAGTGCGTGAGATTTGGTCCCTAAAAGGTAGCCTAAACCTTAAAAACAACTACTGTGGATATATCAATAAAGTAGAAATTCCATATACTGTATCTAAGGGACTGAAATAATGAACATAACTTTGTTTTTAGAAGAAAATACTGTCGGTTTATTTATTCCAGTTCCATTTATTCAGGTAGCCTACATCTTAAATTCATCGCACATCTCCATCAGTGGGACTAAAACATGTTTCTCAGCACTGCACATTTGGGATGCCTTTCTTTCTTAACTCACCTCAATCAAATTATAATATAATTAATCGAGTTTTTTAAATTACGAAACAGCTATGTATCTCCTATACAACCATTTCCTAGAATAAACAATAACAAAAACAAATTATTGTGAGGACGCGATTCCTCGCAACTTCCAAGTTCAACAAGACCCAGCAATATTTATTTTGTGTGTGTCGAAGCCTATTGATTTTCATGGGCCAGAAAAGAAGCAAATCAGAGCTGGACCTGAATCACAGTGATTTACTGTTAATCTGCTTCCAAACTACGGTCTACTAATTGGTTGAGAAAACAGTTGACGGGTTAAGCAACAGTCTGCATGACTACAAAGCAATGAGGCGAATGAGTGTGTCAGTGCTATTGAACGTTCATATTTCCAAATATTTCCTCTGTTGGAAACGGGTTTCACTTCTATTTTAAACGCAGTATGCACAAAAAATTGAGTTAACTTATGAGCTGTGAGTTAGGCTTACCTTAGCCTGGTTAATGAGAAGACCCACAAATGTGGACACCAGCATAGAGCGAGACATCATCGGACTTTTTCTGCGCATATCCTGCTTGATGAAGGGGAAAGCTGACGCCGGCGGCTCCTCTGGGACAGTGACCGTGTACGACTGTCGTATACTCGGCATTATGACTGGAGAAAACTAGCGGAATAAACGGCGCAATGTCTAAATGTGACTCGACAGCACCAAAGCCACTGTATTCCTGCGTATCAGTAAATATCCTCTTTTAATGCAGTCTCTCGGCCGGTCCCTTATTGTATTCCTCAGGTGATATTCTTGTCATACACTATGCTCAGTCTATGTCCTTGGGCTCACGAGAGCTTTACATTCACGAATAATGCAGACGAATCGCGCAGGTAGCATACAATAAATAAAGCAATAGATAAAAAGACAGAGAACAGTACTAAAGCGACGCGCGTTTAAATGCTCCCTACAGCGGTTCGTTCGGTCTTCAGCGCGAGCGCTGAGCGTCAGATATCGGCAGAGGAATAATGGAAAAGTCCGTGTGCTGTTTGCTTTTACTCGCGCGAGCGCACGCCCCCTCGGCACGAGAGATACGTCACCAAACGCCTCTTGCTCTCCTGACGTCACACAGCAGAGGACAAGACCTTCCCATTAATCTGTGACAGCAACACTGGACACACAACCAGAGCATGTCCATGAAACGACGATGTGTTACATTCTTGCATTTATATTTATGTAACACTTCACTTGAAACCTGTATTGATGTATATGTAGACGTATTCATATATTCACAGGAGTTGGACAAAATAATGTAAAGACCCATAGGGGTTAATTTCATTTAGCTAGAGGGAGAAAAAATATCACAATTATGTTTTATTCATCTTTTCATTGTATATATTCTATTTATATCAGTGTAATACAATTGTGTTTAGCTGTGTTTAGTAGAAGCCGTGGGTGAAATTGGTGACTTCTCAGGACTCCAAAAAGCAAAAATCATGAGAGCTGTTTACCAGAAGCATCTGTAACCTTAGCAGCCTAATTGATTGGTGTTTTAAGTCTTTACAATTATGACTGCTTACACCAAGCATGGCAAGACTTCATCAGAGATGAATAATAGAGGTTGAAAACTGAAAGTGAATAATAGAGACTGTCGAACATATGAAGGACTGTGTCCAAACAACATAGAAGTACTGCAGCAATATTCACATGGAGTCCTTGTTTCTAAAAAACGACCACAGAGAACTTCACAAAGTCAACATGCATGAAAGAGCTGCTAAAACTTTAATCACAGACACCAATGCTATATAAAATGCAAAAAGGATTATCATAAAACCTGGACAGAGCACCAAGATCTTGATCTCTTTTACTGAAATAACAATTGATATAATTAGCTGCATATGCTGCATATGAAGACAACCAGAGGCCTTTTATCAGTACTCAAATGTGCGCCCACATTTACATTTTCTTAAATAAATTTTCACAAGATGCACATTGCAATAAAGAGCTGCTTCATCGTTGAAAACAATAGAAGACATTTGCAAGAACTGCAAGTAAATATCCACCTCCAGCACTCTTTTTGTTTTCTGTTTCATAAAATATACTGTTACAATTATGGTGTGAAAAAACGCACAAGTGAACTGTCCAAATGAATCAAACCGAATCGTAAAGAATTTCTTAGTTTTTGTAAACCTGTTTGAATGATTAGATCAAAAGAGTGATTCATTCGCGAAATCTATAGCATCACTGGTTCTGATTTTAAACAGCTGGAATTTTAGCAGAGAAAATTATTCTCAAGTTGGTATACGGTAGGGGTGCTCTGATTGATCGGCTACCGATCACTATCGGCCGATAATCACGTTGGGATGATCGATCGGCGGTCTCTTAAAGGCCGATCTCAAAAATCCGATCTCAAGCTGATGATGCTGCCGTGAGAGGTTTGGCACGACATGCAGCAGCACCGTCTCAGTCTCTGTCCGGCGCGGGTGAAATAATTATAATGCT